GAGGAGCAGCCGGCGCCCCGGGCCCCTTCCCGTCGGGTCCCGCCCCGAGTCTCGGCTGGCCCGGCCGCGCCGCCGGCTGCGCCCCGAGGGCCACGCGGGCGAGGGCCGCCCGCAGTCACCTGTCCGCGGCGGCAGCAGCAGCAGCAGCAGCAGCGGCAGCAGCAGCGCGGGGCGCCGCCCCGTCGAGCCCATCGGCGGCGGCGGGCGCGCGGCGTCCATGCGTCCGTCGAGGCGCCGCGTCCGTGCGACTCGCCGGGAGATTCCGCCTCGCCGGGAGCCTCCGCCTCGCCCTTCGGCTACGTCCTCTCGCCCGCCCACGCCGCGTCTCCCGCGTGCGCCCGACGGGGGTGGCCGGCCGGGGAGGCGGGGCGCCCTCGCGGAGGCTCCCGGCCGCCAGGTGGAGGCCCCCGGGGCCCCGAGGCTGCGCGGGCCCCGACCCTGCGGCCCGCCCGCTGCGGCCTGGCATGCCCCGGGGAGCCCCTTCAGGAGGCCGGGCGGCGGGGCGGCGGGGAGGGCGCTCCAGCCGCGCCGCGCAGGCCCTCCTGGCCCGAAACAGTCGCGAGGAGCGGGGGTGAGGGGGCGGGGGGGGGGGGCGGGGAGCGCGGGCAGGCCGCGAGCAGACGCGCGTTTGGCAGCCCCGCAACGCGTGTGAACGCGGCCGGCGCGGCGGCGCCCTCGAGGGAAGCCCCCCCGCCCCGAAGCGATGGGCCAGCCCGCCCTCAGCTTCCCCCACCTCGCAGGGCTGTTCCAAGGGGGAGCGGCGGGGGTCCTCCTTTGCAAGAGGAAAAGGCCTTTCCTGTAGGGTCACGCACAGGCGGCCACTCGCTAGGCAGCGCTTCCCTTTACTGGAGCTTTTCTGCCCGGCCGGCCCGGCCCTGGAGCCGGCGGGCAGGCGGCTGTGCCCATCCATGCTGTCCCCACAGCGCCCAGCGGGCCTCGCTCTGCCATACATTCCAGGTGCTCCGACACAGGCAGTCAAATGGCCCCTTCCGAGAACGGCCGGGAACAGTCTGCGGGCCATGAGCGTGGCCATTCCGAAGCCAGCCCGGCCCCGAGCCGCGTCGCCAGAGTTTTCCGTGCGCCGTCCGGGCCGAGCCGGCGGCTCAGCAGACAGGCCAGAGGAAGAGCAGGGCCACGCCTGTGGGGGCCACGGTGGTCTTGAGGGCCTCGTGGAGCCGGTACGTCCCCATGGACAGCTTGCCCAGCACGTCGTAGACCCGGTAGCCTCTGCTGCAGCCCGAGACGCCCAGCCGGCGCAGGGTCGTCGCGAAGGGCTTGGGCGCCCCGTCCGTGCCGTTGTTCATGATGGCCACGGCGAGCTGCCCGTGGACGAGGGGCCTCTTCCACACCTCGAAGGAGCGGACCTGTCGGCGGCGTGCGGAGCCGGGTCAGCGGTGCCGGGAAGCTCGGCAGGGCCGTGCCTCTTCGCCCAGCGGCACCCGCTTCCAGGGAAGCCCGCCCTCCGGCCACACGCACCGGGCCCCTTCCTCGCGGGACAGGGAGGGGGCCTGTGCCCACCAACGCCTCTCGGGCTCTTCCCGGCACATCACACGCACGCCATGTGTGCGTGCGAGGACGGAAGAGCCCCCGCTCCCAGCATGCTCTGTGCGCTGTGCCCTGCGCTGGGGCATGCTGGGAGCCGCACAGCGCCTCTTCTGCCCAAACCGGTGTGGGGTGGCGCACTTAATCCCTCGCTTCCTCTGCCGCCTTGCCCCACCCTCGCCCATTCTTCTCTCCCACGTGCGTCCGTCTGTGGCAACTGTGGGGCTGTGAGCCAGGCAGTGCCGCTCCCCACCCTTTTGCTCCTGATGCCTTCCTGACCGTCAGCTGGGGGGCAGCGACCGCCCTGTCCACTGCCTGAGGGGCCAAGCAGCAGCGGAAAGATGCGGAAACGGTCAGGCAGCCTCGCCTGGTTAATCTCCACTGAGCGCCGCATGGTCATGGTCCGGCTGCTGACCTGCCCCACACCAGGGATGCTCTGCAGTGGGCCAGGCCCTTCCCTTCCCTTCCCCCCCCTTCCCCCCAGAGGAGAGCCGACCCTGCCTTGGGCACCACCCCAGCTGCAAGAGGGCCAGCAGCCGGGCTCCTCGGCAAAGGCTGGTGCTTGACCCCCAGGGAGCTCTGCTCTGCTCTGCTCTGGTGTGGCTTCGTCGTTTGCCCCGAGTGGTGGCTGCTGTCCTCACTGCGTCCACGTGGCCCGGCGTGTGGCACCAGGGGGGCAGCTGCCAGGTGTGAAGCTGGCCCCCGACCCCCTGCCCTGCCCTTTGGCCTCCGCCATTGGCCTCGCCCTCGGGAGAAGCCACAGGCCAGCCTGCCCGGTGCGCAGCTGTGCGTGTCAAGCTGAGCGGCCCCCTGGCTGGAGCCCAAGAGGAAGTAGGCAGGCAGGCAGGTGGGCGGGCCAGGAAGGGCCAGGCAGCAGCCCGCCCGGGATCCGGGGGTGGTGGGTGGAGCTGACCGGGCAGGTGAGCGAATGAGTAAACTGCCCTGCCCAGCTGCAGGCATGAATGTGTGTGTGTGTGTGGGGGGAATGCTGCCCAACTCCCGGGGGGGCGGGGCTGAGCCAGGGCGGCTGGGCCAAGGTGGCTCAAAGCCCAGTGGGGCTGCAGCAGGGTATTTCCCCCGTGGCTGCAGAGGCTGGATGCCAGCCAGACTGAGGCAAACCGACGGAAGGGGCATGCCACTGGGCTTGCTGCAGGAGCCCCCTACGAAGACCCCCCTCCCATGCAGGCACAGCCAGCCAGCGCCCAGGTTGTGCAGAGGGGGAGGAGGGGGCGGGAAGACCAGGCTGCCAGCCCCGCAAAGGCGGCTTTGTTTTCCTCTTCCGACCCCATCCAGTCTTCGTTGTGTGCCGTGTCTGTTCGGACCAAGTCTGCAAAGAGGGCTGCCTGGTTTAGTTGACTGCTTGTAAGCTGTTCCGGGAGACAGTTCCCGTTGCGGCCGGGATAACGAGGCTTCGAATAACCCAGGCGTGTCGTGTGCTCATGTGCAGCCCGCCTGCAGAATGACCCATGCCAGCCCCCACTTTTCCGCCTCCGTTCGAGCCCTCCTTTCCACGGACCGCAAACACACCTTGGCAATGCGCTTGCCTGGAATCCCCAGAGAATCCTGGTTGATGTAGATCAGCAGTGGGTTCTGCAGGATGTCCTTGGCCTCTCTGGAGATGGTCCGCAAGTTGCATGAGAGGAAGAAGGGGGCCGCCAGGACAGCCCACAGGGCCACCTGGACTTTCGCCTGCTCCCGACTCAGGCCGAAGTCACCGATGATCAGCTGAAAAGAGGAGAGGCATGGCAAGGCGGAGGCCATACAGGAGCGCGCTTCAGCGCGACTGCCCCGAGCCCTGCAGAAGGACGGGGGAATCGGCAGGCTCTGAACTGCCTCCTAAAAGGGATGGAATTGGGAAAGTATTACATGGCTAAACCACCCGCACGTGACCCTACAGCGGGCCCTGGAGGGAGAGGGGGCAGAACCATTTCCAGCGGTGTATTTTTCCATGGAAAAACTTCCACACCGAGGAAGCCTCTTTATCCATCCTTCTCTGGGTGCTTGTACAGCCACCAGTCATGTTAGCCAGGGTACATAGAGGGCAGGACCACAGGCCGTTTTTCGCAGGCAAGCGTTTTGACTCCGGCTCACGACCACCCCCGGCCTGGCGGGTCAGCTCCAAGTCGAGGGTGCTGCATCGGACCTCGATCGCGCAGGTCCTTCGGCAACGAACCCAAGGAAACCCAAAGGGAGGCCAGGCTGCGACTGCCGCTTGTCTTGTTTTTCCCAGAAAAGCGCCTCCCTCCTCCTCCTCCTCCGCCAGAGGAGCTAGAAGTGTTTGTACAAGCGCCATCCAGGTAGTTCCCACAAAGGGAGGTGTGACCGGCAGACGGTGGCCCCGCTGCAGGGAAACCCCGAAGGAAGACGAGGCCGCTGAACATGTGGACCTTAACAACGCAGCACAAGCGAAGATCCATTGAGCGGCCTGCAGGAGCAGTCCTTCAAAACGGCCCACGGCCTTCCTGGCACCCGCAGCCTTTCCTTTGGAACCCAAACCACACTGGGAGGGAGCGGCATGGCGGGAGGGGCCCTTTTACCATGTCGGGATCGTTCCACCTGCCCGGGCCGGCCGCGGGCTGCAGCACCTCCTGGTGGTCTCCGTACCACTCGATGATGCGGAGGAGGGTGTCCCAGGAGTCCTGGATATCGATGTAATTCCGCCACAGGTTACATGTCTTGCCAAGTACGGTGTAATTCACCTGGAGGAAGAGAAGAGGCGGGCCCTGTGCCACAGCGCTGCGCTCGCCTCGGCGTCCGCGTGATACTTGCTCAGCCAGCGCCCTTGGAGGGCAGAGACCGATGCACCGAGGCCGGGCCCCCTCCCCACTGCCACCCTGACAAGGGAGAGGGGGAAGCGAGGGCCGCTGATGGGCGCAGCCGGGCGCCTCGGCCGCTTTGGGCTGGGGGCAAGTCCGGCTCCTTCCCCCAGACCCGTTTCCCCCAGCTGGCAAAGCACCGGCTGCCCAGCCTGTACCCCGCAGCGCAACGGCCTTCCTGCAACAGCCCCTCCGAGGGTAGGAGCTGCTTCAGAGGCTGCCTGCCAAAAGCAGCAGCTCTTAGCCAGGCCGTCCCCAGGACACGGCCTGTTCCGGGAAAGGACGCGAGGCCTGGGAGTTACCTTTGGGGGGAGGCCCCCTTCGTAGGCTGGCCAGCTGCAGGAGAAGGCGATCGCCCGCCCTGTCCGGTTCAGTGCCGCACTCATCTTGGGGTAGCCTAGACGGGGGAGGCAGGCAGGGCTAGCGGCGCTTGCTGTGCAGGTGTGCGAGAGCGCTGCTTGCCCCGGCTTTAAATCGCTGGATGCCCATGATCGGGATCGCTGAGGAGCCGGGTGCCGTGGTGGCTGGAATGCTGACCCAGGGCCGCTCGCTTGGAGCAGGGAAGACTCGCCGGGAGGCTCTGGGCCAGTCGCGGACTCTCGGCCCTTCGGATTTGCCGCCCCTTCACTCGGGCGCCCCACAACCTGCTGGCTTCACTGGGCCCGCGTCCCTCTTTCCCCACACAGCAACCTCTGTTTGCCCCAACATACTATAAAGGTTGCACGCAGGCTATCCAAGCAAGGCCCAGAACCCGGAGCTCCGTAATGGGCCTCTGCCTTGGCGGGCGTGCAATGGACCGGTCCGGGGGCCGGCGGCCCCCAAAGACTCCCGCCCAGCAACCCTGGCCACCGCTTGGGGGACACGGACCCAGCGCCTTGACGGAGGAGTTGGAGAAGCAGCCGTCCAGCTTCAGCATGTCGACCCCCCACTCGGCAAAGGTCTTGGCGTCCGTCTCGATCGAGTCCAGGGTCGTCCCGGGATAGCCTGCGCAGGTGGCGTTGCCCAGGTTGCTGTAAATGCCAAACTTCAAACCTTTGGAGTGGACCTGGCACAGGGAGGAGAGAGACGGCCGCCTCCAGTCCAGCGCGGGCTCCTGGGCTACGGGGGCTCACAGGCAAGACACTCTAAATGCCCCCCTACCCGTGACCATGGTCGCCCATTCCTGCGCCTGCTCGCTTGTCCCACAGGGCAGTGGGGAGTCGGCAGGGCGTCTCCTGCCCTCCCTCCTTCCCCCGTCTGGGCCAGAGAGGGGCACGTGGGCAGCAGGCTGCCGTGGGGAGGAGGGAGGGCCCTGCCGCGGTCCCCTGCTCCAGCCGGGCCTCCGGCACGTGCCGCTCAGCCAGCCCCAGCAGCTGCTTCACAGGAGCTTGCCGATTCAGCCGGATTTTAGCCAATTAATTTGAGCAATGGGAAAAGCAGCCCTGAAGGGAAACCTTTTTGGTACGCCTGCTCACTCTGAGCATGCGAGCAAACGAGCGGGGGAGGGAGAACTGACTCCCCAGAACGAAGTGCCACGTTCGCCCATAGATGCTGCACGATGCCCTTTCCCCTGACATGGGAAGCTTTCCGAGAGAAGGTGCGTCTCCAGAGCCACGCATTGCGCCGAACTTACGTAATCAGCGAGGGCTTTAATGCCACTGGGAAACCGCTCTGCGTGGGCCTGCAGCCTCCCTTGCACGTCCCGTTTTTCCGCTGCCCAGCAATCATCCAGGTTGACATACACATAGCCAAGTTCCTTCCACCCGTCGCTGGCCAGCCTGTCTGCCATGACCTTGATCAGGCGCTCACTATTCGTGGAGAAGAGCGGGTGTGCTTACTCCGCTGGCTCAGCAATCGCCCAGGGAAGTGAGGCCCGAGGACGGCAGAGATGGGGCCCAGGCGCTCGGGTGCCCTCAGATCCCAAACTGCAGCTCCTTGCGGCAGAAGCTGCCCCTTGGAGTAACCTTTGCCCGACTCCTGCCAGAACTGCTCTGCTTCGTGGGACAGGACAGGACCAAAAGAGCCCAGTGGAAGCCCAGCGTGCCAGGCAGAGATGGAAGCAGAGGCTCCTGCAGAGGTGGCCTCTAACGTCCAGGCAGGCCGAGGTGCGGCAGGAGGGAGGCCCAGCCCATCTGAGGGGAGCAAGTTTGGGAAGGCTGCACTTTATTGTCACGAGTGTCTAAAAATGTCACTTTTCAAGGAAAAGCGTTTTGATAAATGGGAGTTTCAGAAGACATTCTGAGCATTTGAAGGAGCAAAGTGCCACTGAACATGGCAACAGCCAAAATCAATGCCACAATCTGGATCTCGGAGACAAGAAGCGAGCGCCTCGGCAGAATCCTCATCTCCAGTGAGCTGTTTCGTTGCCCCGGGGAGAAAGGCAGCCCACTGAGACATTGGCTGGCTCCTGGGCTGCCCTGAGGCGACCTGACTGGTGCGCCAGAGTTCCTTGAAGCACGTGAAGGTACCGGGCCCGCCTGCACGGGAGACGGCTGGACTGTGCCACGCCATGGAGCTCTGGAGAACGTGGGGCGCTGCGGGGCTTTGCGCAGGATTGTGCGCTCGAGGAAAGAGAAGGGAAATAAAGCTCGCCCTCCCGCACTGGTTTAATTTTCTTGAAATATTCCAAGATCTGGCCTGCAGCACAAGCCATGGAGGGTCACACGTGTCTTTTAGGGGTCTTTGGCTAGTTCTGATTTACAGGAACAGCCCTGGGCTGAAAATGTTTATGGACTTTTTATTTGTATGGTGCCCTAGAACAAAAAGATTCAGGGCAGCTTGCATGATAAAACAGGTTAAACTATTTTTTAAAGTAAATAAGCACCAGCAACCTCAAAGTACAGAACTCACATTCTCCAGAATTTAACCAACAATCGCCCCCCAATGATTTCCCCTCTTATGTCACTCATTGGAACTCCCGTCCTGGCACTTTCCTCACAGCACCTCAGTCGCTGGTCCGGAACAGCTCGCCTGTATTTTCCCCACCTGATGCAATTCTCCGGATCTGCCTTGCAGTCTGTGTTGCATCTAAAGCGCTCCCAGGGCACCCAGCCCATCGGCGGCGTCTTCAGCAGCCCGTTATCCAGAGAGGAGGCATGAAGGGCCAGGCTGAGCACGATCCCCAGGGAACGGAGCCACATGACTTGGGCAGAACCCCTGTAAAAGCAAAGCGTGCACACCTGCTCGAGAGCCCAGCACCGGGTTTCTGTGCTGGGAAGACCGTGGTCGTGACAGGCAGCTAAGCACGGGAGCGACGGTGCTGATCGCTCAATGTCGGTGGTTTAGAATCACTTCTGGCGTTTGAGGGATCCCTAATGAGCACAAAAGAAGCTTCAGGGCACCTTGGTCACACTCGAAAAGAGGGTAACGGGATCAGGAGAAGGAAGCGACTTTTCCACGCGGGACCTCCACGCTCTGGGCTTGTCCGGGTAGCTACCCGTTCTGACTGCACGGGGGCGCCCGCCTCTCTGCGGGGGCCGAGCCGCTTGCGGGCGATCCCCACGCTCCTGCCCCACGGCCGCCTGCCTGCAAGTCACTGGCAGGCGAGCTGGGGGCAAGATGCCCTTCCGACCGGGTGGGCCCCTTCCGGGGAGCCTCGGGAAAGCCGCGCCTTGCGCTCTGCCGCGCATTCTCCGCGTGCCTCGGGGAGCAGACGGCAAAACGACAGCATGGCCGGACATGGAGGCTGCTTCCCCTATGTTCCGGCAGCCTTCTGCAACCTGGCGCCCGCCACGTGGCTTTTACTGCCGCTCTCAGCTCTCCTCGCTAGGGCCGAAGCCCGGGACCCCTGCGGGTTCCACGCTGGGCTCAGGGGTTTAATTTTCTGAACGGGCTGCATGGGCTTCGGGGTGACGTCACAGACCGTGCACTGTGACGTCAAACAAAGCGGAGGGCTCGCGATTGGCAGCAAAGGACTTTCGGGGCACGCCCCATCGGACGCCCCGCCCATGCGCTTCGGGATCGGAGCCGCGTCACGTGAGGGTGGCCGCATGCGCAGTGCATCCTGGTTCCCTCTCGCCCACCTCCTGGCCACGATTCCTTCAGGCAGGCACCCCCGGCCGCGCGTCGGGCGAGCAAGGGCCGCTCCTACGAGCGGCTGCCGGCGCCCGCCCCTCCTCCGCCCGCCTTGCCTAAGGAACTTGGCACGGCGCAAGCTCCCGTCCGGGGAGGCGGGGCCTGTGGAGAGCGCCCGGGCAAGGCGAGGCCGCCCGCCCTACCAGGAGCGCCGGCGCTTTGCCGTGCCTCCAATGGCGGAAGAGCTTCGTGCGCAGCGGCCAATAGGACGTGGGAGGGTGGACGGGGCAGCCGAAAAGCGGCGCGCACCACACAG